CTATCCCCTGATCACTTGCAGCCCTTTCTTCCCACACCACCACCACAGCCCCTTCCCTACCGCCCCCACCATTTCCTACCTTATTCGAAGCCACACTCACTCGTGTTCAACGGCTGCCCCAGCAGGCCCTAGCGGAGAATAGATCGTTATTGTGTTCTTTTTATGTTATCGTTTGCGTCAATCTGTTGTTTTGAGTAATAAAACTTGTTTTCCTATCGAATCATTCGGTTAACAATGGTATCATGTTGGGTTACTAAATTCAAGAGAAAAAAAGATAATTGTTGCGTAGAGCGGAGAAAACAAGCCTCAAAAAGTAAAAGTTCAACCATGAAGAAGGTGGAGACCTCACCGGGGAAGTCAAGTAGGGCCTTGCTGGAATTCAATATCAAAGGAGATCGTATTTGAGGAGGCTCTGATGAAATAGAAAGTACAAAAGATTCTGTAATAAAGATCATCAAAAAAGAACAAGCAAAACCGAGAACACACTTGCTACGAGAGAGAAGAAGAAGGATGGGCACAACAAGAACTAGTCTAGCTATCACGGGGTAGAGAGCAAGCGAGAGGTCTACCACACAACTAACAACACAAAACAAGTCTCCAAAAGGAGTTCAAACGAAAGCAGCACCAGGCGGCCACAAGAAAAAAATTGATGAAGTTCTTAGAATTAATCATGCAAAGATCCCCACAAACCTTCTCCAACGAGCGCTCACACAACTTCCCTGGCATTATGCCGCTAGAAAGAGTTGATAGGCGTGTTGCGGGCTAGGTTACAAACCTTATAAGCACAAGAGAGATAAAGTGGTGGAAGGCTCGAGCATAAAATCAATTGTACATGAAAGGAAGAGTCACACTCGGAACCATGCATACAAGGAAGCACAGAGTTACTGCATGTGAAGAGGTACTAGAACTAGGGAACCATGCATTGTGATTGATAAAAATTGAATAAAAGAAAAAAAGAAAACTACAGCAATGAAACGTAGAACTCTCTAAATCTCAGTATGACCTAAGAGTTTATTTTTATGCATTTTCTTCAAAGCCGACGAAATTTCAATTTGTCTACTTCCTTAAAACGCTCATTTGATTCTTTCCGAAGATAAAGTTCAATCTTGACATTTTTAATCTCTACGATTCTCAACTTTAATCTTCACAAATTTAACAATAAGAAAATTGATAAAAGTCCTTTATTTTGTCCTGCTATGTTACTTATCTTTTTTAATAAGTAACCCACTAAACAAATTGCCAATTTCTTACCAAGCACTTCATGAATCTTGTAGCTTCCAAATGGATATATATCTTAGCAGCTACTTCATGAAACAAAGCAAATTATATGACATAAGATTACATTAAATACATTTTTGAAATTGAAAAATACACTAACGAATATAGTAAAAAAAATAAATAAATAATACAGAATAATTAAAACTGCTCAGCACAACTATGTTACCTTGTTTGGTTTACAGCCTTTTTCATAATTAGGCTTCCACTCGCAGTCGATGCCAACGACCTTACAACCCTCAATGTAGTTGGTGGCAGTAATTAACCCATGAAAGTCATCCACCCATACGATATTATCTATCATTAATTTCTCAGGGTCCAGGTAACAAGCTCCAGATGTTGGCTTATCAGAAACTGCACCATTAAGAAAAATAAATAAATAGCTATCATCAGCTTCATCATATGAAAAATTATACATAAGAAAAAAATCATAGTGTGTGTGTGTGTCTACATATATATATATATATATATATATATATATATATATATATATTAAAAAAACTATAATTTCTCAATTTGGCGACCGACAGTGCACAGCTTTGTGGCATAGATTCTCTGCCCTTCTGCACTTCAACATTTTTGCATTTGTTTCATCTATTTTGCTCTCTAAATTTTCTAATAACCTATATATATTGCAAATCAAAATAAATATAGCTTTGAAAATGATACAATCATCATAATCATGAAATAAAACATAAACTTAATAATGTAAAACATTAAATTTTTGAGACTCATGAAGGACTTGAGATATGAACAAAAAAACTGGATTATCACGTAACTAAAGAGCGATCCAATTTTGTCTTGTCTCTGCCTCTAGTTCTAGGGAAGGAGCCAGCTAATAAATTGATGAGATGAGTGTCATTGTCAGTAGTAACCAATGTATCATCCAATAAATTCCCGAGCTAGAGTCTCTCTTCTTCCTCCTAGAATAGATCTGTCATTCTTCATCCGAAGATTGAATCGCCTGGTCAGTGGATTGGCCTAAAGTGTGTCGGACATGTGTAGGTTGTTGAACATTAGAAGCAATTACTTGTTGTACAAGCTGATCTTTTATCAGATCAGGGAAGCGGGAGCACTCTTGTGTGTCCTGGCATGTAAGTGGGCCTCTTCTATAACAATGAGTGGTATAAACACATTTGGATCCGTACATGTAGTATGGTGTTCTTCATCAGGAACTGCGATGTTGGCAAGTGGGGATCGGCAGGCAAATCAGACACCAAATTCTGCCTTGTGGGAACTTCCTCCACAGATTGAGCAGATGGTCCTTAGCAATGGGGTTGGACCCCTCTTTGTTTGCTTGAGCTTTAGCTTTCAAGTTTAGATGAAGCCTGTGACAATTATCAAATGTATGCCCAACATCTTGCAGTGGGTAAAATAAAAAGGTTTATGTTCCATGACAATTGGTTGCCAATATCCATTGTGAGTTGTGCCCAGCCAGACTTCAACAATATTAGGTAAGGTAATATCTCTTTCGACAAGTATTCTGGCCACAGAAGACCTGGTTAGGTTAAAAGTGGGCATATCTAGCTTCATAGGATCTCCAAGAATGGCTCAAATAGAATAAAGAACATGATGATAAAAAAAATACAACTTTAGACCAGGTAAACTAATCCATACCAAAACCTAAACCCTATATATATATATATATATTTATATATATACATACATACTTTTATATATGGAAATTTTTTTTTATTGTAAGTAGGATACTAATAGATTGTGTGGGAGTACCCAAACATAGCACCTCCCTGCCCACATGATAATCACCACATCAAATGGTTCCAAAAAGAGAAAATACAAAAAAATACATAAGAGATCTAAAGAAAATGTCAAAAAAGTGTCAAAATACGGAGTATCAGGTAACTAGAGAGCACTCAGTTGTCTTGTCTCTGCCTCTAGTTCTAAGGAAAGAGTCATTGTCAGTAGTAATCAACGTATCATCCAATAAATTTCCGAGCTCGAGTCGGACTCCATTCTTCTTCTTCTTCCTAGAATAGACTTGTTATTCCTCATCCGAAGATTGACTCGCTTGATCATTGAGTTGGTTTAAAGTGTGTCGGACATGTGTAGTTTGTTGAACATTAGAAGCAACTACTTGTTGTACCAGCTGATCTTTTATCGGATCGAAAGAGCACTCTCTTGTGTCTTGATAAGTGGGTCTTCTTCAATAACAGTGAGTGGTATAAGCACATTTGGATTTGTACTTGTAGTATGACGTTCTTCATCTGGAACTGCGGTGTTGGAAAGAGGATCGGGTTACACCTTCTCAGCAGGGATGGTAGGTGGTTGATCTTTAGCGATATTCGGCCTTAGATGAGGATGCAAACAATAGCAAATAGTAGAACTGTGACCAAACATACTACAATGAGAGCAATAAAAAGAGTGTGGTTTTAATTCAACCTTTTGACGATACCCGTTGTAAGTGGTGTCAATCCACACCTCATCCAGAGCTGGTTGATTGATATCTCTCTCAACTAACACACAAGTCACATAGGGTCTAGTGACAGCAAGCGTAAGACTATCAACTTTGAGAGGCTTACCGTAAGCAGTTGCTAAAGAGTTGAGAATTTCTAAGTTGAACAGATTTAATTTTAACCCAGGAAAATTTATCCAAACATGAATGATAGGGGACTCCGCTTTTGGATCAAAATCGACAGTTCACTTTAGAATTTTCATAAAACTCACATCAAAATCGACAGTTCACTTTAGAATTTTCATAAAACGGTTGTCGATCTTGATAACTTTTTGAGAAAAAATGCGAGTTTAATCGGCATCGTGAGCTAACTGAATAAGTATATGTCGACCATCAAGTAAGCCAATATTTCAACTGCCCAATAGCTTCATAACATCAAACTCTTTCCGAATGATCTCCAATTTTGGGTGACCATACAGAAATTTCCCCACTAGAGCAAAACGCCAAAAGGACGTGAGAGTACTGGTTTCAACCTCAGTGAGAATAAGATCAGCCTTCTCATTCTTTTTGCAAAGCTTTTTAATGAAAGTGTGATCGCCACCACCTTCAAGAAGATTGTAGAACATTGCATGACTTTTCAATATGAAAACCAGGCTCTGATTTTGAAAGAGGAGCACGAGTAGGGAAAGTCGCCGACAAGTGCATTGGCATAGGAATGCATCATCGAGGCCATCTCCAGAACGGTTGGCGAGCTGCTAAAAAAAGGCGAGCAGACTTCACTTTCTGTCGGGCAGGGCGATGTGACCCGAGGAAGGAAAACTGCAAGCGTCGGGCCAAATTGAAGGCGCAAAATGCATCAGTAACAATGTGAGAACGACGAAAACGAAAGAGGCCTTCAATTTCGGGCACAGCTGCGACGGAAGTCGTTCGACGTCAGGCTGAATCAAAGGCGCGAAAGCATTAGGAAGAGGAACGACGTGCGAGAAAGCCGAAAGGAGAGAAACCCTTTGACGTCGGGTATGAGGAAAGCGATTGGCGCAAAACTCTTCGTTGTCAGCACGACGAAATCGGAGGAGATATACTGTAGAATTAACACAGGGATATATATATATATATATATTATATATATATATATATATATATATAGATATCAAGGAAAAGAAAAACAAATAAAAGGAAATTCAAGATTAATATTATTGTGCATTATTAGGCCTTTGTAAGTATATTATCTAATTTGTGACTAACACTATAAAAATGATATGCTTAGTCCAGGTGCATGAGCTACCAATAATTTGGATAATACAATAGGTTAATGCACACAACCTTACCCATACATTTACAAAAAAGGCTAGTACCGTGACTCAAATTCTAAATTTTAAAATTATAATGTACTAATAACTGGTCAAGGCCAGCCTACTCCAACCTCACTGCTTAGGTTATGAAAAACAGCCCTTTCCATGTCACACTTTAAGATAAAAAAATTAAATTTTGTTAAAATTCTGTTACTCCAATCATAGCAGAGAACTTAAGGCACAAGGATCAAAACTTTGTGTCATTGGATTTATTTCTCTATGACCGCGTGCTTTCCTAAAGAATCATTGGCACCTGATTATTTTTTCCTATTTTTTTAGTTATTCATGTCTTGTAATGGCTCTTGAAGGTGCACATATACCTCTCTTTTCATACAATAAAGTGAATCGCGATAAGAGTTTTTTTTCCATTGCTTTATTTTTCATAAGGTATCAGAGAAAAGTTAGTATGTTCCTTCTGATCTTTGATCTTATTATCTAAAGTTAGGGTTTCCATTTTCAGTCTTATCCTTCTCGTTGAATTCTCATTTTAGTCACTATGTCTGGGTTTTCTTTGACCACCTTCAAAGGACTTCATGATTAATTGTGAAACTTAAACCAAAGGAGTGCTCCAAATATTTCAAGCATCTTATCACCTAAAAGGGAAAACCTACCTTAAACGGTCCTAAATCATGGAAACTTCTCTAGAGGAAAGAGAAAAAATTGAGCACCATGTGAATCTATCTTTAGTGCCCAAATACCCAAAGTTTATACTATGAGAAACTGATTTCATGATCATGACATGGTTGTGAAATATCATACAACCGAAGATCAATGATCCTTTTATTTTCCTCTCCACCAAAAATGTCATTGAGGATGTTATCAAACAAACTTATTCAACGGTGAAGGATGATACACACATCTATGAAATCAACACAAAGCTCACAGCTACCAAACAATGTAACATTCTTGTCATTCAACACTTTAACACATTGATGGTTTAATGGTTGTAATTAGACTACTACAAAGATTACAAGATGTCTTGTGCCACGACCCGGAGGGTACAAACAGTCGAACTGTTGAAACTAAGTTTTCTATATTCATTTTCTATAACTAATATTTAACAAATGAAAAAAAATAACGTTTGAACTAAGTTTTCTATATTCATTAAAGAAGTTAAATTAAATAAGTATAATTAAATTTACCTAATTAAAATAGTTCGCATCTTCTATAAACATTTCTTCTATAACCCCTCTTATTTTATATTACTTAATTTTACCTGAAAAGTTAATTTAAAATAATAGTGAGCTAACTAAAACTAGTGAATACCAATACCCCTAAATTACAGTACTACAAGGAAAAAAATAACGTGCATGTCAGATAAGCTTTTAATAAATCAATATAAAGCCGTAAATATGACCACTTACGCTATTTTATGTTATTCAATGAGTTTTACTTTATCAATAGTATATTAATATTATTTAATATTTGTACAACCGTCACAAGAACAACATCAAACCTTAATCCCATTACATGGGGTCGGCGACATGAATCCTTTTTCTCCATTGTGCCATATTTAATGTCATATTTTCATTTAGTTCTAATAAATTAAGATCATTTTTTATACAATAAGCCCAAGTCATCCTAGGTCT